TCTTGCACAAAAGTTTGTCTGTTACACTGAGGGATGTCATTACAAATGGCCACGATAGAAAGCTGGTAAAAAAAAATAGAGCAGAATTCCATATTTGCCTGGCCACATGTTATTTCTAAATATTGTTGGTCTTAAAGCAAATACCAATCTCTTAAATGAATGAAAATCCATAATTTGAGACATTTGGAATTTTCCTTTCTTATGAGCAGGTGAATTACTCTGTTCATTTTCTCCACTTCTCCCCCACTGATGTGCAGCAGCCCATTCTTTTATTATAATGTGCAGTCTATCAGATCTCACAGTGATGGGGGATGTTAGCACACACCTATGCCTTTTCCTCTTGGGCAGACCACAATGGCACCTGCAATAACTGACACCGGTTCCGCAGCACAGAGATAGTGCTGGAGGTAAATCTCTGCCAGAATAACAAAGAATAGATGGTGAGATGTTCTGGTTTAATATCCGCTCCATCTTTCTTATCTATATTAGAAACGCCTGTCAATAAGGATGACTGAGTAGAGCTGGAATTATGAAGCACCTTCCAGGTTCCTTTATCTCCCGGAGCAACATTAATACTTATATCTAGTAAAAGATACTGGGTGAAGGAAAGACCATTGTTTGCCTGTGCTGGTGCATTTGTTTAGGAAACACGCCTTTTAATTCCATAATGTTATTTGAAATGCCTTCTTCTGCTCTGAGAAAATATCCACTTTTGTTATTCTTTGTGAAACAGAAGCTGAAGATAGCAGGCTTGCTCACAAAAGCCCTGATTTGAATATGCTAATGTTAATTTAAGCATTCAGTTGCCAAATTTTCTTGTGAGGATTTTTTTTTGTAGTGTGCACATTTAATATTTGTGTATGCATTATTCCCTGTGCTTCTCTGATTCACAGACACTGAGTAAATATTGTCTTTCAGTATGATCTACAGCAGAAGTCAAAAATGACACTGCAAAATGAAACTCCTGTTCCCAGGTACAAATCTCCTTTTTCCTCTGATTTTTTTTTTTCCCCTGGAAATTCAGGGGAAATTACTTCTGCACCCAAAGAGCTTAAGAACTTTATGGTTGATGCTTCTAACCTAAATATTACAGATAATGCTGATTTCTAATATGGCATCTGGCTGAACTAATGGTGTGTGTGAATCAATTCCTCTCTCCATGTAGTTCTGCTGTTTTGAATGCAAATGGTGCAAACAGACATCACCTCCCCCAACAGGAAATGGTGATCAATGGAATGAGTAATAAAACTATGACGATAGGAAACTGTGTACTTTTCTCTTTTAGAGCATCATTGGGGTGGAAAAGTGCGTGAAACTCTTAACTCTCTATAATAAGATCTCATATCTGTGAGATGTGATTTCTGCTGTTCTAACTGTAAGCAGAAGGTGAAATGCATTACTTGAAGTGAGGCACCATGGGTGTGAAATACATGAGAACTCAACAAAACAGCCTGTTTGGCAAAAACAAACCTATCAGCTGCCTAGAAAGTGGAGGCTTCACAGAGGTTGCAGTGTATGAAATGCTGCAATTAATTGGTGTGGCAACAGTGAAAATCTTTTCAATAGGCTGATGGCTTTGCAGCTGTTATCTCTAAAAACAGTAGTCTATTTCATGTCCTACCTTTACTGTGAGCCCCTGGTGAAGCAATGTCGTGTTGTATTGGTACATCAAGTTGCCCGAGGAGGTTGTGGATGCCCTGTTCCTGGAGGCATTCAAGGCCAGGCTGGATGTGATTTTGGGCAGCCTGGTCTGGTAGTTGGTGGCCCTGCACATAGCAGGAGGATTGGAATAGACGATCATTGTGGTCCTTTTCAACTTGACCAGGTTGTTCTATGATCAGCACAGACACCTCTGTGAGAAAGCAGGGGCAGTGAATACCTCTGGTAGCCAAGGGAGAGCTACAAAGGTCTGACTAATGCCTTGCAGGAATGTAAAGAAGAGGAGATTGACTGTGGCTCTTCTACTTCTTCCTCTAAAGGGAAGGAGTAATAGCCTTCCTTGCCATTACTCTCCCTTCTAAAAATCCTGTTGTAAGGATGCGTTTAACAGTACTGACAAAATACAAGTACTGAGTTCCTTTAAGTCTGCACAGGTGCCAAGTTAGTTAGCAGTTATTATCTTACAGATGCATTACTGCTTGCATGGTTTGTGAAACATTCATTGTATCCCACGCTTATGTTAATTAATGTACATGTGTTAGATCACTGAGTTATGTACATCTCAATCTAAGCTGAAAAATACCCAATTTGGTACTTATACACTGTGTGAAGTGGACAAAATGATTAATCATAGGAAGCAGGACTACCAAATGCATTGACTAGGCATTAAATAAAATATTCGACTGTATTTAATTGGCATATAAGCCAATTTTTGGAGAGTGAGAAGTTGACTTAAATGAATCAGCAGGCAAAAGTTGTTGTCCTGTGAAGGACCATACATTGGGCAAGATTATATGCTTGAAACTCCACAGTTCTTTATTTTGAAAGTGGGAGGCTGACTCTATGGGGTCTTATTTTAGTTTATTTTGAGGATCCCGAATGAATGATGTGGACATCATTTATTTTTCTTGGCTGATTGCCTAACTAGCATGTTACAATTGAACCCAAAAGCTGCCTTTCAGTGAGCAGCAGCCATTCTTGACATCCTCTACACTCACTTAACAAAATGATCACCTGTATATATTTCTTTCCTCAGCCTCCTCCAGTTAATTGTTAACTAGTGTAATCTCTGCTGGTTCACATTAACGACAGCCTAAATGACGTGGTGTGACACTTCTGTGGTGCTCAGCTTACAAATTATTTCCCTGTATGACTCCATTCCTTCTGAATGGCTCATCTTTGTTAGATCAATGTGCTGCTAAGGGTTTTCCACTGGGACCTGACTATTGTTACTTCCATTTCCTAACAACGGACATAAATGAGAAGTTTATACGTGTTCAGCTTGCTTTTGCTAGCAGAAAATAGGAACAAATTACCAGGAAATGAAATGGAATATTTCAATTTATGCTCTCTAGTTGCCAAAACTGTATGCTACTACAATGCTTTCAAGGAAACCTGATTAGAGACTGCCCTTGTAAGAGTATCTGGCAGAAGCATGGCTGAGCTCACGTGTTTGCACAGCATTTGTTACACATCGTTATAAACAGACCAAACTTTGCCCTCTTATCTGCATCTATGCCTCTCATAGGAACAGTGAAAGCAAGTAATTTGTGAGCAATACTTGACCCTTGGAGAACAACGTGCATCTGCTTAAGGCCTTTTTTTCCTACAAAAACACTTTTCAACAAAATGATTTAGCAAGTGTTTAATTTGAACGATTTGGCTTAAGTGTCTTTTTGAGTGCTTTATCAAGCTAGAGCAATCATCAGCTGCTTAATAAATATTGGATTAAAGTCTGTAAAGGGAACTAACACATGTATCAGAAGGACAAAAATGAAAGAGCCTTGCCAGATACTAAGCTTTTCTCTTTGTTATGCACTGCTGTGTTGTGTAGGCTGCAGTATGTATTTCGCTGATGCTGGGAATTGCAACACCAATATTATTTTTGACAATAAAAACTGTAACAGGGACTGTAATTCTGGCAGTTTGCTGGAGTTATACGGCAAAACCTCTATAGAATTCAGTGCTGTTAGAGAAAACTACAGGAACAAAACTATTAGCCCCAAACACCCATTACTAGCAGTCACAATTCAGCAGTACTTTTGAGTATGTGCTGAAATGAAAAATCTGGGCTTTGAATTGTCAAGCATTAAACATGCTACGATGTTAGAATAAGGATATAGTAATATATGGTGATAATTAAAATGCAGACGAGTAGAAACTGTAGTATTAAAACATTGCCATGTGTCAGTATTTTTCTTCATAACAAGTTAAAGTGGTTATTTTCCAGTGCATGTTCCAAAAACACCCTAGCAGTAATAACACTCTTCTTGCACTGCACTGTGTACTGTCACCAATAGCTGTCCCTTTGGTTTATGTATCCTTATTGTTTTGAATAGATCTGCCCAGCTGGATTGCTGTGCTTAATTGCCATCAAACTGTGTCCCTGTGCCTTTGGGTTGACTTCCTCTCAACGCATGGCTGCACAGAATCTTCCTGTGAGCTCCACTCCCCATTTCCTGGGTGTTGAATCTCTGCTAACCTTTGAGATCTCAAAGCTCTCAGGTTTTTCAGTGGAAGAACTCTCCTTTGTGTAAGCTTTAAGTGATACAGAGCAGAGCCCTCAGAGCAACTTGCTGACTTTATGTCCACTGAGACATTTGGTGATCTATTGGTTTCATAACCTCAACCACAATTCATACGATATAATACAAAGATCCCTGAGCAGTATTCAACAGATTCATTTTTCTTTTCATCCTCGTAGACATCTCACATTTTTTTCTTTATCTGGAATAATAATAAAAAAATCTTATGATAAACTGAAGACAAACAGGCTTGACATGTTACAGTTGTTGATAACTCATGCCTATAACGTACATGGGCCTGATATGGGAAACTGATCTGGGAGCTTTAACCACCACCCTTTATTGCATGTCATTGGGGAGTGCAACTTGTGTGTTGGATCTAAATATTTAAGCAGTTATAAAATGTTTTGGTTTAATTATGACATTGTTTACCAGCAAACTAGTAGTAGTTTTATATGTGAGTGCTATCTCAACTTTGCTTCAACTTCTCAGCAGTGGAAATGCTCAATGAAGCTATTGTTTCAGTCCATAGGAAGTGGAACACAAGCAAAGATGGTTGCTTTTCACTTTTCTTCCCCAGAAGACTCAAAACAAAACAACCCAAAAACCAGGAGTTGAAGGCAGGGCAATAATGGCATGAACTATGTTGTTCACATTTGTTTTCTTCAATACATGTAAATGGTTACTCTCTTACAGTCACACGTTGATGTACACATACGTTTCCATGCTCTGTGACCTCCATGCAGTATGATTTCTCCTGCATGCAAGCTAAATTTAAGTAAAATGTTCTTGAAATTAAGACAACTCGGACATCCATTAAATCAAAGTTTAAGCATCTTGCTTTATTATTGGTCATCAGAGTATTAGGGCAAACAGTACTTTAATATTTGCATTCTGAGTTGCTCAAACACAAATTGATACAGCTATAACAATTTTAAACTGGCAGCACTTTCGGTCACAACTGAACAATTGTGTGAAACTTGTTAGTGCTGTGATGCTAAATATCAGTAAGGAAGGTTGGTTTAACAAGAAGAGCTGCATCACTGCCTGAAAATAACATCCTGCTGGGTCTATTCGGATGGGTTCTGGATAACAATCAGCAGATACTCCTTATCTGCAAAAGCATTTAACACTGCTTTGTTAAAATGTTTTTCCTTCTTTCCTTATAAATCCTCATAAATAGTCCATAATTGATTTACCTTCTTTTTCTTTAATATAAGAAAAAAGCAATAATATTCATGTAATTTTCAAAATTAAACTGCTTAAAAGGAAAACAAAAACAAAACAGATTTCAGATTAAAATTGTCATAAATTGTAACTATAGCATTTTAAATTATTTTAGTAAGCAGAATATTTGCTTTCAAGAAGCTGTAAATATATTTAAACAAGAAACAGTCATAAGATAAGCACCTGGAAGCCAGCACTTGTTATAATAAACTTATGGCATCTGCAGCCTCTTCTGCAGGTGCAGGAAACTTCTTTCAGTTCACTATCTGCTTTATTTGGAATTGAGAACCCCATTTAGAGATGAAAATAGCAGAAAAGGTTTGAATAGGCCTTTATTATGAATAAATTCTAAGCATGCCAGGCTTTGCCAACTAATTCTAAAAGCCTGGGGAAGTTTTTGAGAAAATTCTATTGGATAGCTATTTATTATCTATTCTAAATGAAATATTTCCTTAAGTGAATTGAGTAGGGTCATATTTACTTTAAGAAATTAAGAAGTTAAGTCTACCTCTGGGCTTGTTTTGTTGCCTTCAAGGCAACAATATACTGCAAACCTGGTACTTTAAGGTTATGAGGTTATGAAACCTGGTACTTTAAGAACACTTGTTTCCATGCTGAATAGATAGCTTTCTTTTCACGTATGTGTGTTTAAAGTACATTTCCTCCAGTAGCTTTACTGGTGAACGGTTAAAAGAAACTTGGAAGATATCCTTTTCTGTCACTTTAAATAGAAACGTTACCTGGAGCTACCATGATTTCATGTTTCTTTGATCTGATCCTGAGGAAGGTTAGATCATTCTGAGGATCAATATCTCTCACTGTGCTCCTCGCTTTCATGGTGAGCTGATGAAGGAGACCTGCATAGTGCACTGTTGTCGAGTTATCAAGAGTTGTTCTTATTGGAATTCCTGGAAAGAAATAATTTTCTCATTCAGCCATTTAGTTAAGTTTCTTATTTATATACAGCAGAGTTTAAAACAACAACAACAAAGGTCTTCATAGGTTTTTTGTTTGTTTTCCTGCTTTGTAGCAAGGAGTTGCTCATTGTAGGTATCGATGTGTCTTTTTAAAGTGTAACTTGTATTCATCAGTGGCAGTTAAGCATTGAGTTGCCTTATGGAGCTGTTGAAAGAGTAATTGCTGTTCAAGGCTCTTAAATTCAAATTCCCTTCAGTAGTACTTAACCAGCACCCGTGCTTCCTCAGTTAAACGGTGTCACAGAGTTTGTTACTTTGGCTGTAAGAATGGATATGCAGTGATAGGAAGTTCTTCCCAGCCCTAAGGGCAGAAGTGGTGTGTGTGCTTTAGACAAGCAAAGCCACTCTTGGAACAGTCCTTCAGTTACATGCAAAATATTGATAGTGCATTGATCCTAACTATTAAAATATGATTACATAAGATTAATTTTTGATGATTTAATGAATCATTGTTTATCAATGATTTGTTAACCATGCTTTTTATATTAATAGGCTACCAAGTGAAGCTGAATGCATAGGGCTCATAGTACTCTTGCAAATGTAAAATAAATGTTTGGCTTTAATAAACTTGTTTCACTAATAAAAAATTTATTTGACTTACTAACAAAGGCAACAGATTAGAAGTTAGCAAGGCAATTTTCTCTTTACGTACTTTTTCATGTCTTCCAGCTGGGCAGGATAGGAATACAAACATAGAGTAAAATGGCTCAAGTTGAAGAGTTTGATTCATGGAAGAAGAATTAACATGCAAAGATAGGGAATGGCAGGTAAAGACTTAGAGGGAAATGAACAAAAGAAATACAAGAACCTCCTCAGATATTAGACTATTCCATAACTTTCCTAGCAAAACATTATTTGAATCACTTGAAATCAGTGCTGTCATGAGAAATAATCCTGTGTTGGTGGGATGCTTAGTGAAGCGTAACAGGATGACCCAGTGTATACTTTTGTGTAATGTTAGTTACACAGAGATTGAAAGAGGTTTTGCAAAAACAAAAGAGGTGCCCACAAGCACTGCATTAGCATGAGAAGATCTATATAATCACAGCATTAAGTAGTAAATCACTTACAAGCAGCAGTGAGTGTGTCAGGGTTATACGACCTCTTATCTAAATGACCACTTCAGCAAATAGGGCACTTTTAATGAAAATGGTAAATGTTAAATGATTCTCCAAGGTCTAATAATTACCTGAAAATGAGTTGACACTAGTGATGTTCTTAGATGAAAGCTAAACTGTGCTTACTTTAGGACGAATGCTCTTTGCCTCTGCCCCCCAAATTAGCGAGAAGCAAATAAATCCTTCATTAAAAATGCTGCACTGTGATCCTTCACAAATGAAAATCTCCAACTGTTGCAATCCTTTACAAAATGAACAATGTATGCTTAGCATGGTGTTTCAATGAAAAACTCAACCTTGAATGTTAAAATAAATGACAGGCAATATTTGTGTAAGGAATCTTTTGGTTTTTGTTCCATCTGAGTGCTGCTACATGGTATTACCCATACTATTAAGAAACCTTTGTAAAAGATAAGAATATCTGCACTACTTAGATGGAGCAGTGCTGCTTAGGTGTAGGCATGCTACAAAATTAGGCAACTACATATCTGCTTTGAGATTTAGTTTATGGAATCTAATTTCTTGGTGTGTTGTGTACCTCCTGATGGGGTTCAGCACCTGTTGTGTTTGCAGTTGGTGTAGGAAGATTTCTAAGTGAGAAGCTAAAACCAAGATTCCTGAACTAGTCTGTCTAGTGGAATTCAGTCTGGCCAGGTTTGTGAGGGTGGGGAAGTTTGAACAGGACATGGTGGGGAGACTTTACATCTTGTTTTGAGTAGTATAATGTCCAAAACCCCCACCAAAGCTGTGCTCTGGAGTGTTCTTCCCCCTTCGTTAATCAAAGTTGAGACAGAGTGTGTAAGAGCCTTTGAAATCGCGTGGTGTTGTCAGGAGAACTCTTCATAGCTGTATCTGAGCATCCCTCAATAGCACAACTGCACCATAGTAAGTACATGTGAGCATACTGCTGCAGTTGTACACCTGAGAGGGAAAGCATACTTGACCTAGTTGCTAGAAACTCAACTGTGCCAAGATACTGAACATAAATCTGTTGTTTTTCTGTTGGATTACATTGGTGTTTTTGCCATCATAAATGTATCAGTCTGTAAACTCAGCAAGGGTCATCTGTGTTACCTAAGCGTTGATTTTGTTCATTTTTAGTTTGTAGCTACATGGATAAGTCACTTTCTATTTACTTAATCACAATACAGAAACAGTTGAACCAATACCAGCTCTGAAACCAGCCTGTGTTTCAGGTTAGGAAACACTTATATCCAGAAATGAGCACAAAGAAGGCTTTTGGTTACTGTTTGCTGGGCTATGAGTTCTTGGCTTGCATCTATTCTGTGTACAAGGGCACCTTTTGCTCAGCATGTCCAGGCATGCAAACAATTGTCCAGATTTTCTGAAAACTAAGTAACATTTGAGCTTCGTTCTTAGCGTTCTTTCTACTTGCTAAACTGCTGGCAGTGCAGTGTATTTTTGAGGGTGTTGTAGAAGTGAACCAAATTTCAGGCAAGGTAATTGAGTTGTCTTATCTGTACAGGAATGATTCAAAGATCAACCTGAAGCCTAGCTTCTGAAAACTGGTTTCTGTGATGAGTTTTGCTTTGGCTTGTAGTTCTGTGTCCCAGCCAAAGACTGCATGACAAGAATCTTGCTTTTCCTCGTGACATCACCCCATAACACTGATTTGAAGAACTTCTGAGTGTTCAGTAGAACCAAGGAATGGTTCCCAACAATGGAAGCCCAACTTAGTTTGGTAGACACATCACTCCTTGTCTGCTCTTTCCTGACTTTTCAGAAGAATCAAGGTGGCAATGAATCTATGCAAATACAAAGGATTTGGGGCTGAAAAACACCTGCCAAAACAACAGCTTAGTGCCACATGTTCTGCCTTCTGTAGCCTGCTGAATGATGCTCCAGCTACGGTGCTGAAAAAGGAGATATTTAGACAAGGAGATAATTAGTAATACATAAGTTCCTAAGTTACATCAAGGTGGCACTGTGAGTTACTCCATCAGCTTTCTGTGTCCCATGGACTTGAGCCAGAGCCTGCATCACGAGGGCATTGGGACACGGCTACAGGCTGTGCTGTTCTGCCTTACAACCAGACACGTGCTCTTGAGAACATCTTCCTAAGGCACTTGGAGAAAGCCGAGGGCGCTTTACCTTCTGCATTGACAACCATAGTCGCCACGACCCCTTTGTGGGCTTGAATCCTTTTTAGGGTTTCCTCCGTTTCAGCCTACGGGTGGAGAGACAACAGCACAGCCCCACGGCTCCCGCCCGGCCGCCCCACCCCGGCTCCGCCCGCAGCCCCCGCCCTCCCCAGCGCCGTTCCCGTCCCGGGGCAGCGGGAGGAGCGGCGCCATTACCATGGCCGGGCCGTTGGGGGGAGCGGCGGAAGTGACGCGGCAGCGGTGCGGGGCGGCGCGGGGCGAGGCGGGAAGCGCCGGCACGGCGTGCTTGGATGTCGTCGGAATAGAGCTTTGCTGCTCGAGTTGGCAAACTGCAGACGTGTAAAACTGAATTGTACAGCTGACACATAGGGTAACAGGTTGGAAGGGCCAGACGTGATCCTGGCCCCAGTGAGCAGACAGGCACTTCCAGTAGCCCAGAAGTTTCTCAAGGCTTCTCTCAACACTGCTGCTTTCCTTCATGGCGGCACGATGCCTCGGTTTTTCTTTTCCAGAAGCAGAGCAAATATCAGCTCGGCTTTGCAAACAAACAAACAAAAAAAAAACCACTCACACACACACAAAAAAGAAAACAACCAAAAAATCCCCACCAAACTGTATCTGAAGTGGCTGCTAGCACGATGCAGGAGTGCTCTTGTAAGTGTGATTTATGCTGAGGATGAAAGGATGAAACATGAGGACCTCACAGGGCTTGGCTCAGATTTAGACTTGTAACAGTAAATGAAGATATTTTCTTGGTGGCTTGAAATACAACTGAGAATTCAGATTCCAAGCAACAGATATATGGATATATGTATCTTGGACGCAGTAGCGAATACAATATTAGGATTGGGATGTTACTGCTTGAGATACAGAAATGCTTCCTAACCTTGGCAGTGCTTCCCCAGTGAGTTTAAATATTTGTTAGTAAAAGTAGCAAGTGAACCCCTTACATATCAGATGCTTGGTGTAAGAGTGTGGTGTTTGAACTCTTAAAATTTCTGATTGCCAATTAATTTTGAGGCGAAAAATCAACAGAAAGGTAGAAAATACTCAGAGCTATTTCTGTATTCTTTTTTTCAGGCTGTGGCAGAAGATGCAGTTCTGCTCATGGGAACGAGGAAGAGGACTGCTGGTAAGTCCGTGGGAATTTAATTTCTTCCTTGCTTCTTGAACCTGGAGACCCAGGAGGAGAGAAGTGCTGTGTCTCTGGATGCACTGTGCTACAAGTGATGTAAGCAGTCTTGCTTTGCTGCTGTTCATTATGAAACAGTATAAATGAATTAAATTTGGGAAAAATACTGCTTTTTATGACTGATAATCTTGATATCAAGTAACTAAAGCTCTGCAAACTGTTACTGTAGCTTCCTTCCTTGTCCGTACTGTAGGATCTCTAGAAGTTTTCAGTTTTGTTGGACTATAAAGTGAAATGAATCAATGCCTGATTGGTAATAATACAGGAAAAGCTGAAAAAATTAACTGCTTGTTTTTATTTCTAAATAGCTTTGATTGAAATTCAGTGGAATCAGTTCATGTGCTATAGTAGTTGGAAGCTTGGAGTCACTCTTAGATTTTTAGCTCTCAGCCCTTATGAATATAAACATAATATATATGTAATATATTTATGAATAAATAATGGTTTGATATAATGTGATTACTTTGATGCAGTTCTGAAAGAGACAAATGCAGAATGTGTTCATGTGAACCAGAAGTCTGAAATTTTTAACACGTGTCACTAGAAATTACGTTGCTGGTCAGTCATGTATCAGCCATTGAATGGGAGATACAGATGGGGTTTATTGCTCACAAAATCAGTGGGGTGATGAAATCTCTTCTGTGCTAAAGGTAAAACCAACCTTCCCCAGGAGCTACTGACTTGGAATGATGCTACTTCAGTGTGCCATGTGCAGGCTCTGAGTCCTTTTGTCAGCTGAAGAAATTCTTACGTATTTCTCACTCACGCACTTACGGTGAATGATCTGCAATAGTTGAAATCCATTAAATAAATTATGAATTTATTAGGTATTAATTTGCTAACAAGGGCGAGTTGATTTTTGGTTGTTGCTCATGTGGGCAAATGAGAAGCTGCAGTGGATCTTCATATGTGCTGTTTTTTAGTACTGTCTTATACTACAGATACGCTTTTCCTATGTAGAACTATGCAAAGAAGTATCAAAGTGATACTGGATAAGATCTTTAGGAGAAATGTGAATGAACTGTGGCTGTACTGGGTAATGATATCCCCTCGTTAATTTATTTTATGGACTCTTTGTGAACAGAACATCTGTGGAAACCTGCTCTGGCGTTTTAGTTGGTGTTAAGATTAAAATGAAGATCGAATCAATTTATAATAATACAATAATTGGATAGGAAAGCAGAGTGCTTTAATAAAGCAGCTGCTTAACCATAAAAGGAGGATTCTGTAAGAATTATTGGTGCATACAGGTGAAGTTATTCAGTGTTTTGTTTAAAAAAATCTTTCATAATCTCACTGTCCATTAATAAAGTTTTATTTTAATCCTCTATTACCTCAATGAATCCAAATATTATAAACTGAGGAAATACGTTTAAATTGTATGCCATGTAGGCATACACGGAACAATTTTTAAGAGCTCCTCTGTACGTAAATGGTAAAATGGAAATTCACTCAATACACTCTTTGCGTGTGAAGATTCACAACTTTTGAGAGCGGTTTCCCATGCTTTTTCCCTGCTGCGTGAGGAATTTGCAGCTTATATCCTCTAGATGGTGCTACAGCTACAGCATATTCCAGTGAAGTCGATGGTAAATTTGGATGAAATCCTTTTGCTTGCTAAAAGGCCATCCCGTTTAAGTTGTGTGTTGTTCGAAAGGATTACTGACTTCAGCCAGGATGCTGTTTCCAGGTTTATGCACGGTATGATCAGCACGGGTTGATTACTTATCCTCAGGTAAGAACAGAGCAAGGATTTTAGAGAGATCAGAGACTTGCAGGAACTGTGGTCATATTATCCCCTCTTCACCCCAAGTGCCTGTAATGCACCTCTGTAGTGCATCCATCCCTAGAGTGCTGCTGGGGGCAGGGGTGTCCAACTGCAGCCTGCCGTGCTGAGTAAGTGACAGCAATAAGGGCCTCTTAAGGCATCCAGCAGATGTTACTGCTTTTGTATGCTAATGGAAACTTTACGAACCATTCTCTTCTTTCTGAGAGCTGATGTAAGTACATGAAAATCGCTTCCTTATATCAAGAGCAAATTGATAATAGCCTTGGTTCACTTGTAGAGGCACTTTATTTGATAATTGCTGAAAGCTTATGCAGAGCTTCATCAAAATTAATATTTGGTATTCTGCCAGCTTTCCATGTACTGAAGCAGCTGAGCAAAATCTGAGTTGTGAGCACTTTGCTACCTGCGTTTTTAAGCCCTCTGTTTTGGAGGTGTTGGGGCTGGGATGTGAATCTGCTCTGTTGCGTTTCCTTTCTCACCTCTGTTCTCAAGGTAGCCACTCCCAGTCCCTGCTACTGTGGTTATTTCAGTGTGTAGTTTGTTCACAAGTGAAACATCAGCTCATCAGTGGTGCTCCCAAACGTGGGAGCATTGGGTGACCAGATGTGTTGTTCTGTGTGGTCTTCCATGAATATATAATAACAAAGAATTGTACATCACAAAGGAAGATGCTGTGCAATGTACACTAACGTTCCGTAGTCCTGCTCTGGTAGTAGAATACTCCCTAAAGCAATAAGAATTTAGAGAATGGCTCTGATGATGGCTGAATCATACTGAGGTTAATACTGTTGCTGACAATGTGGTGTTGTTTAACTTGAATGGAGACAAGAATAATGAAAACACAGGGGCATAATCCTGGAGGGAACCAACTATCCACTCTTTGTTGTAACAGAACCTTATAGAGATGTAGACCTTCTATAAAACTAGTAGAGAATTGAGGTAAATTTTATTAATCCATATTGACGTTTTTTTGGATAAGAAAAGAGCTATATTTCCCATTATGGAGTGTTCTGGGTGTATTTTATGGAAGTTCCAATGAAAACACAGTCCTGGAATTGTGAGCTGTAGCTGTGTGCTATATTCTCATGTTTGTTATTTCTTCATCTCAGTTTGATCCAGAAGTAGGAGTTCCAAAAGAACATAAAAACTCGGTGTTTTAAACCTAGGACATCTGAAAACACCTCAGTAAGCATATGGGCATAATTAGATGTAATGAGAACGATAACAGCTCCCTTACTAGAGATAGACTGCCTGGAGCAATTTTGGTGTTTCCTAAAGGCTTTTTTAGATATAAAGAGAGTTTGTAAAGTCAATTCCTAAGAGTTACTGAACTGTTGCTCACAGAACTGAGCATGAAGAACGGGATGCATTAGGATTAGTGCAGCTGGAGCTGTGTTCTTTTTGTTATGGGAGCTAATTTTGTATTGGTTTTAATCCTTTTTCTTTTTAGGGGTCATAAGATTGTTTATCTATGTCCAAAAGCAGAAAATAATTTCAGTAGTAAAACAGAAATCTTTCAGAAGTGATCTGTGGGTACTCTAAGGCTCCTTGGGAGAAGTAAGGATTTACACCACACTGAGTTATTTTATAGCCCAGCACTGCAGCCTCACCGCTCACGTTCTCCCTGCGTATGTCACTGTAACTTTTTGACCCTTTAAATACTGTGGTCACCTTCTTTAGTTCCGTGTGAGATTACCAGTAAAATTACCATGCAGTCCAGTCCTTCTGCAGCTAGAAGGCTTACTAAAATTGCAACAGAAAAGGTAGTGCTAAATGTGCGATGGAGCAGCGTCAAAGCAGCATCCTGTGACGAACTTCTCTAGCGCTCTTGGAACTGGCAAGCTGTCAAGTAAATTTAAATATATGACTTTGACATCATTAGAGTGAAACCAGAAGCCACAGTGAAATACTGTATGCTGTCTTTCATGTGGTAGAAATGCTTCTATGTGGCTGTACATGTAAATTAAAAAATAGCCCTTGGCACATGGTTTCTAAGTAACCAACATATAAACATGGGTACACGCTCTCCAAACACCGCTTGTGTTACACCATCAATCATGAGTATGGGATTCCGTGTTCTCTTTCAAGCGAATGCTTTGGTGCATCATCTGTAGCAGTGATCCGCGGTGTGAGGGCAGAACTTCTGCCAGGTGCTGAATGCTGAGATCCCTGTCCCATCTAATCCAGGGCCTTTCCCCTGCTTTGAGTGTCATGTTGATGTTTTCTCAGAATAGAGTACCCTGCTTCTCAAATATAAGTTTTCACGAGAGCTTACTGAGAAGGGCAGTTTGCTTTGTTTCTCTTGGGAAGATCTCATCTCCTATGCAAACTGGCCTTTAGAAGCTGCCACTTACCAGGCTGTGTGAACAAATTACAGTGAGGGATAGTGCATTCCAGAAGCCTGCTGAACCCTGGGGAAACTATGAAACAGGGATCCACAGCACCAGAAGGTGGTGATGTCCGTTCTGTTATCCTAACATCCTACTGTCTGTCTGGATTTATGCAATATCCAGCTTCAACTCTTCTCCTCTACATTTGGAGAAGTTTTC